AACACTGACAATCGATTTTTCTCCTGTTCCCGTAGTGGTCAAATCTCCGCATCACAAAGCAGCCTTGTTGATAACTTTGACGTTATTGTATCTCAGATGGTATAATTTTTCCTTCACAGTGGTGTGAATGGCATCCATTGCCTAGGTTCGAATCCCACCGGGGTCCGGGATGTTTTCACTGTGATATGGCATGACATTTTTGAGGAAGTGTGTCCAGGCTGTTTCTATAACCAAGCTGCGCATATGGTTCGAAGTTAAAATCTCGTCATCACCGCCTGACTTCGATAGTGATAAAAAACTTTCCTATCACCCGATCAATTATGTTGAATTAGAGCACTTGTGCTTATAACTGAAAAAATAAAACCTATTGGCTATCGTTTTACCACATTCTGCTTTTAATAACAATGAATTACTTAATAAAATGTCCTAGAAAAACAATAAATTACCCCAATATAATCCTACTAAATGTCCCAACACATTTTTATATTCCCTCTGAATGGGAACTCTTGGGGAGAAAAAAAAGATCCACTTGCCCTCGACTCACTTCCATCCGTGGTCCGAAAGTGATCATCCCAGCATACATTTCACACTGTCCGTCAATGATTTTTTTCGCATATTTTGTCGAGACCAATTTGCTTAGATGGATCCCGTTCAGATCGACAAAACACAACCGGACGAAATCGTACGTGGCCAGCTGGGATTGGATACGTTTCTCCTCGCGACCGGAACTGCGTATTAGTTCCAGCATCTTGATTAGGGCCGGATAGTTCTAAAAATCGATTTGTGCAAAGACAAGATGAACTACAAGAACCAGCAGATGTGGGCATGCATTTTAATTTAAAACAAGGTTTCTGCAGTAACATGAGCTCTCAGACATGTGCATGCACCAGTGTTTCGATGTGCATATTCAAATTTCTTTACATACTAAACTAACCATAGTATAGTGATTCAAGGTGTTTTTAGAGTAATCCATCGATTTGAAGAGCTCACGGCTGATCATGGGTTCAAACTGGCAATTGCCTAGCGTTCGACTGGTTTGGCCTGCGTGAGTGAGTGATTGACACTGCTCACTTAAAGCACGATTATTCCGTGAGCCTGATCGATTGGTTGGTCAACCTCCCCCGCCCCTCCCCACGCACACAAACACTCAAACACAAGCCCCGAAGAGCATAACCTTTGAACGATCACGTGATCGCGAGTGAAACTCACTGACCCAGTTTGTCCGGCAGGTTGAATAAAACGAGATTTATTGATTGTTCAATCATGATGAAGCTAAGTTGTATGACATATGTATGTCTTGGTTAATGGCAAACCGATTGAACTCCAAACTGATGACTCAATCACATGGAGTTGAAGCGTTTTTTGATCCAGAATTTTCCGGTAAGGTTATGATCACAGATTGAAGAAATATTTGGGTGAGTAAAACTAATGGGAGTTAAACTGATCTTCGCGATCACGACGTATGTGTAAGCCATTGGGTCAGGGACATTTTTCAATTAATCAAATTGTTATCACAGTTAAAATGTAATCACTCGCCTCAAATACACGGAAAATATACGGAGATGCATCTGTACAACTGTGTACAACTCAAATTTTATTATAATTATGTGTATTATGCAGCGGTTGAGAGGTGTAGCTGGACAATCCAAGGCGTTGTAGTTTCCAGATTCGAATCCACAATCACTCCAAATTTCTCACAGAATTGTGATAACCTTCAGTTGACTGTGGATCTTAATTCCGGGCCGATGATCTCGCACGTGCTGTGTGTCACAACAAACGAGATAAAATAAGCAATTCTTTCGACGAAAGGGGTCCTATGAACCGAAATTCCGAATTTTTTTTAAATAAAATAAATAAAATAAAAATAAATAAAATGTCGTGAACCCGTATCATTCCGGACCCACTTATACCACTGAGTGATTTCCCTGTACCCTCTTCCTGTTATTCTTTATTCCCATTTCTACTTGAATGGCTCCCTCACATTCAGTCTGTATTTCTGGAATTCCATCAGAATCGAGTTCAGTTGCATCAATGATTGCGTGTTCAAGATAATCAAGTGACCATAATGTAAAACCAAAAATGTGCCTTGAAAGTCCGCCGGTAGTCAGAACCTAATTGGGAAGGGAGATACTTTTGCACATTGATTAGTTCTATTCTGCACCACTCTTGGGGTCATGATGCTATCTGTTTTCCCAGTGTTATTACGCAAATAAATCTCCGGGACCCCGAGGGAGTGTGCCGAGAATGGAGGTAATAAAAAGGACTCAAAGTTTCACTAACAGGACCGTTAATCTCCAGGATAGCGGGGTCCACTAAGTTGGATAGATAGAGATTTTGAACGCTCGATTGATCAGGACCAGAATCCGTCTGTGTATGCAATCGGAACTACTCCGAAAACAGACAGACACTGCTTGGCAATAATAAGAGCGTAAAGCGTTTAGTTCGTTGGGTTAATCGACAATAAATAAACAAACAAAGTATTTTAGAGTAGCAAGCTTGGAATAGCCCAATCGATTGTTTCGTACTGATTGGGACTCGTCAATAGTGCGTACTATCAGGACTCGAACCCCGAACTTTCGGGTTGGAATATCTAACCCTTACCCCTGAGATACATCCAAGAACATCAAGAGTGGCTGGTGCCTCTTAAACAATAGAATGGGCTAATCCAAGCGTGCTACCCTAAAATTGGTTGAGCCATTCGCACAACGTGATGACCGTCGACCATGTAGCTCAGAGGTTCAGGGTTTAAAGTCCCGACCCGAAAGTTCGCGGTTCGCGTCCTGACGGGGACAAGAAAGTTACATACTGTTGACGAGTCCCAAGCAGGACAAAACAGCTATCCAGTGCTCTTTTTTGGTAATCACAAACAGTTCCATGGCAAATAAAAGTAGATTCGACGAAGCTCGTGAAACGCGCAAGAAGCATGATCATATGAATTAGATTGATAGTACGAGGTTGAATTGTCTTTCAAATCTCTGTTAAGTTGTGTTGCTAATGAGATCGCGAAAATGTGAAATTATCCGATGAATCGTTATCGTTATGAAGATAAAAATGGATCTTATTTGACCAGAAAGAAGACAAGATTCTCAGGAGGAACTATCCCTTCCATCTGTTAGCTAGCCAGTTCCAATTTTGAGAGAGAGAAAATATCCCACATAGGATTAGTTTATCGTAGTTGCACATGGTTTGGGGAAAATTATTTATTTTACATATTTACGGAAGCTTTGTAATTTTGACGATAATCTTCCATTTTTTATTTTTATTTTTGTTAGTTATTATTATTTTCTACTACACAGATGAGGAAATTGAAGTTATGAGTTCATGAACTGTAGACTCAGAGCACTCTTTAACTCATTCCATTAGGACTACTGAATTAGACTTGATTATTTTTTTAAAGAACTGCTCTGTCAAAGGACCTTTCATTCGCTCAGAGGTTTTGTGTATTTATCACATGATCATACATTTGCCTCTATTTAGACTGGTTTCCAAAGTATCGGTAATAGTTTATGGTGGACTGGTGTGGTCACACGTACACGCACACGCGCACGCACACAAGGCCAACCAAACAGATAACCAACCCCATCGATTGATCTCAGTTTACTCGCTTGCTTGAAACTCTATCTATTCTGAGTGTGTGTATGTCTGTGCGTGACTGTCCGAAAACACTTATTAAAGAAATTCACTAATCGCGGAATGGCAATGACCTCGTGCAGGTGACCCCGGGTACCATAGCGCAAATTAAATCTATTCAGTAAAGTACAACGTTGTGGGAAAGCTATTGTCCCACAAATCAGTAACAGACCAATTGAAGCTATCATCTATTCAGATGGCAAGTGTTTGAACACAAAAAAGTACGCACTGCTGACGAGTCCCAAACAGGACGAAACAGCTGTCCAGTACTCTTTGTTGCTTATCACAATCATTTCCATAGCACTATCATCTATTCATTAAATATCCCCATTGTGATATTAAGAAAACGCTGTATCAAACAAGGCTTGTTTTCGATAACTTCCTCCTCGGTCTAGCACAGTTGTATATATTGTTCAAAATTGTCAAACTAGTGTAATGGTCTGATGTGATGAATACGATTCGTTGATTATGATCTTGTGGTATGTGGTTTGGAAATGAAAGGGGCAGAGATTTTGTTGTTGTGTGATTTGGAAATGTTCACAGTGGGTTGATAGAGTGAACTGTTCCATTTATGGTCGGCTGTGTCAGGTTGAAGCCAGGTTAAGTCAAGTAACTGAACGAATGGCTTTTGAGTAGGTGAACAGCCACGGCCTCAGCTGTAGCAAGTTGCCGTTGACGAACAGCCTTAGATGGGTTTGCTGTTACTTTGTAGTTCACCTTGAAGCCGTCCGCGTTTTGCTTGATGGACCGTGTCTGCAAAGTGTTCTCCCAACTGCACTTTTGATCGTTTTCCTTATCCCCCTACTCAGCCAGGCCGGTTTGTGCTTCTTGATTCTTTGCGACAATTACCTGATCATTTTTCCTACGTAACTTGCCGAACATTAGTAAAGAAAGTGGTAAATGCTCGTAGATGAGGGTAGGATAGGTAATAGGTAATAGGGCGGTGGTGGCCCGGTGGTAACGTCACCAAATTATCCCCCCGGAGGACGAGTGTTCGAATCCCACCACCACCGTCTGACTGTCCCCATTAGTATGCATCCCTCTGATTGGCCGCTTCCCCCCTCCTGAAAATTGTATCTTTGTATATTCAATAAAAGGGAGTAGAATGAAAAAAAGAAACTGTATAGAGAACGGATGTCAAGATAAAACGACGAAACATGCACGCAAGCTGTCATGATAACGCATTTATTAATCGGGAGATTGAATTGCCTACTGAATAGCTAAGCGTGTGCTTGCGGAATACAAATGTGACCAAAAATGTTTGAAACTATGAACCAATAAAAATCAGAACTGTTATCTTTCACTGAAAATTGTGAGCCACAAGGATAAATGTAGCTAGATACTAGGCTTGAATTTGCCGTTTTGGTTGCTTACGTCAGGCGTGTTAGTTTATTTCCTTCAGTAAAAAGCGGAGAAACGATGCACGGGAGAGTGATATTTGATAAAAGGGACATGATAACCTAAAAAATTTAAGGCTTGGCTAACATCAGGCCAGGAAGAAGCTTCTGAAGTTATTGAATTTTTATCCAAAATAACCAGTTGTGATTTTTTTTATCGGTATCGATTCACCAAACTTACGTTAACGTCGGGGGAATTTCGCTTTCATTATTGAATTCAAGACAATTCCATAGTTTTACTGTCTTGAAGTATTCCGCCGTTCTTTCTAACCGAATCACTTCAGCGATTTTTGTAGATTATAGCAGATTCCAGGTGCTCGTAGTAATTAATTGTTTTCTTTTAAAAGTGACTGCTTATCATTTTGTGTCTGTTATTTACTTTCATGAGATTTGTTTTTTTATTTTGTATAATGAAAAACTGAAGTGTACATCGTATTTATATTCCAGACTATCGTTTACTCTAGAATTAAGCTTTGGTTTAGAACGTTTCTACTACTCCCTCACCGTAGGTAATCATGGCTAAATCAGCCAATCCATATTATTCACAATGCAACACATTTTACAACCCACCCAGTTCAACCGCATGGCTTTACCACTGAACATAACCTGCTAGACATTTTGCCGCTGAAACACTGTCGATATTTAAATTTTATACATCATAAATTTTCGTTTAATTAAATGATAAATGTCGCGTAACTGAGGTTACTGACGTGCTTAGACACAAGGCCATAATAGATCATATTTTTAATTTTAAATGAAAAACCATTGTATCTACCTCTATCGAATTCACTGTTGTGAATATTTCAATTGAGTATGACGGATGGTGATTCAAAAAATTTCGACAATCGTTGCTTCACATTCTGAATAAGGAATAAAAAACCCCAACCAATGGCAGTTAGCAATAAATTGGCCAATCAGGTTCAAGCATTTTGAAATTCGTCCATAC